ATGGAAGCAAACTGTTTTCCTGCTGTTTTAGTGATCTGCAGAGGCCAGAACAAATGCTTTTGTCTTTCCTGACACACACACACGGCTGTGTTTATAGAGTAAAACGACAAAATTCTCAAGCAGATAATATCCTAAACTAAATCTGGATTGATTTTTCTTACTTCTGAAGATCTGATTTGGCCATTCCAACGATTTTCAACAGCTGATGTGATTGTTGGTGAAGAAGGAGGCCTTGAACTGAAAGTTTTTGTTCAGCTTTTATTGAAGTGGTATTCCAATTTTTGATCCATTTGTGCTGCTGCTGAATATCAGAGCAGATGTTTGTTGATGGATTCCTCTCTATTTTTTGTTAAAGATGTAGTTCAGTCATTTAATTAATACATTTACAAAGGTCAATATTAAGAATCAATGCCTTGCAAGTCGTACTCAGGGGCAAAAACAGCTCAGATGTGCCTGGAGGAGAAAGTAGCTTCAGATGGCAGGATTTGGAGTTTTATTTCCTGATATTTGGACATCTCGCCTCTGATTGGATAACAGCAATGCAATTCTACCACTGACTTGCAACATGGAAGTTTTATCTCCACAAATAACACAAGCCAAGAGGAGTTCTGCCATGTGGTGGAGTTACTAATGCTAACGTTAGCTTCTACTAGTCAAAATGTTTTCTGCTATTTCCTGGATGATAAAATCAACAACAGCCTTCCCCGTCACAATTTAAGATGGGGGAGTCCATGAATGATAAGTGACAGTGTGACGTAGATCTGTCAGGATTTTCAAATCCCAGAGTTTCACAGTCTATTTTCTATCAGTAGCTAATGCAGGAGATAGGTGTAGGAGACTATTTTCATTTTGAGCCTGCATGAAAACATCGGAGTTACCAATTTTAATAAAAAAAATCAAGTGACTGTTTATAATGAGAAATCCATCCATTTTCTTCCAGTTATCCAGAGTCGGGTCGCGGGTGCAGCAGCCTAAGTCGAGAGACCCAGACTTCCCTCTCCCCAGCCACTTGGGCCAGCTCCTCCGGGGGAATCCCAAGGCATTCCCTGGAAGTGCCCGGAAAACCTCACCAGGGAGGCGTCCAGGAGGCATCCTAATCAGATGCTTGAGCCACCTCAACTGGCTCCTCTTGAAGTGAAGGAGCAGCAGATCTACTCCAAGCCCCTCCCGGATGACCAAACATCTCACCCTTTCTCTTAAGCCCTTTTCAGATAGACATTCTGGAACATTTGTGGACAATTCAATCCAGTTTTTAACCGGAACTGTGTTTTCAGACACACCACTTTTGTACCGGAACTTGTCCTTTCGGCTGCATTCACACAGCAGGGAAAAGTTCCAGATGTCTGACGGTGGCGGGGGGTGGGGGTGGGTGGGGGGGGGATCGGACTTATGTTAAGAAGAAGAAGAAGAAAATATCATTTCTATAGCGCCTCTCAAGATAAAAATCACGAGGCGCTTAAGCATAATTCTGCACACACAAAGACGCAGAAGAGACCTGGATAATGAAGCTCAATGGTTAAAGGTATCACTGAAGCGGTGTGAAGCGCTCCGTCGCGCGTCTAGGCGGTACCGTAGGAGGCGAGCTGCCGTGGTTCGCCGCATGCTACAGCAGCGGGCTATCTAGGTGCGCACAGCGTCCCCCGGTCCCCTCCTCCTCCCCCTTGTCCGGAACTCTACCTCACCAGTCTGAAGCAGCCACCCTGTCCGTAACAAGTCCGGACCTGTTACTAGGGGCTTCGTCCGGATAAATTCCGGAACACGTTATCCGGATGTTTGTATTCAGACACAAACGTCTTACAGACAGAGTCTGGAACATTTCCATTTTCATGGCCTGTCTGAAGGGGGCTTAAGGGAGAGCCCAGTCACCCTGCGGAAAAAACTCATTTCAGCCGCTTGTATTCGCAATCTCGTTCTTTCTGTCACTACCCAAAGCTCGTGACTACAGGTGAGCGTAGGAACGTAGATCGACCGGTAAATCGAGAGCTTCACCTTCTGGCTCAGCTCTCTCTTAACCACAACAGACCGGTACAACTCCTGCATCACTGCAGACGCAGCACCAATCCACCTATCGATCTTGCGCACCAGCTTTCCCTCACTCGTGAACAAGACCCCAAAATACTTAAACTCCTCCACTTGGGGCAGGACCTCATCCCTGACCCTTCTTCTATAATCTGAAATAATACTTAAAAATTTCTTTTCAGTGATCCACACCTTTAATGAAAATCAGAAAACATCCTAACAATGTAAACAATAGGAGCCATTAAACACATTATTCAAATGCACTTATGTTGAGAAACTAACAGCTCTGCTTCTTTACTGTAAATACTTTATAGTTTTGGTAACTTACCAAGGACATCCTGCTTCCAGCAGGTACGGTGGTGAGTCAGGATTGTCCCTATGCCGTTTTTCTTTTTTCAACAAATTTTTGAGGGTTTGTGAAATATGACTAGGACTGGAGCCAGTTCTGTGTCACAGCTCTGGCACGTGCCAACTTTTCACTAAACATTTCTGCCCCCCAACTCCGTTCTTTTTTTTCCCAGCAGGGGGAATGGAGAGCCTCAATGCTATCATTCTTCAGTCCTGTTTGAATCTGGCCGCATGTGAGCAGGAAAAGGAGCCAAACGTGCTTCCTGAATGTTTCAAGGGGGGAAAACGCTGTAATAAGCAAAGGGGTGGGTGGTTAAAAATAACTGGGCTATATAAGCCCAGAGCAGGATCCCAGTCGCTCTCAAACTCCCACTGACTCTTGTTCAGTCAGGACGTTCCAGGCTGAAACGCTGCTACCTCTCCCGCTCACTCACACAAGTTTTTCCATGAGGCAGAGCCGTTATGTCCCGATCCCCTCAACAGTGATGAAGCACTTACTGTCTTGACACAGACATGATGCATGCCGGCGTCCGTTTTTCTAGTAAAAGTCTTATTATATGTTAGATGACAGCATAAGGTTTCATCATGGAGAATGTGTGAAACAGTGGAGAAAGGAAACAAGATTTGGAGGCAAACAACAATTTTTTAAATCTTTCAGAATCGCTCTCGAACTCGATTTATACGATTGAACAATTTTTTTCTAATTAGCCCACAAAAAGATTCCTTTTTTATGTCTTAATCTGATTTTTGGGAAACAGCTTGTTGATTTTTGATTGGCACAAACGACTTCTTTTTCCGGTTTGTGTAACATTTTGAGTGAAGTTCTACTTCTCAAAAGTATTTTTTGCTATAAAACAAACATGAGTGAAGAGATTTTTCAATTCCAACAGTTCTGGAGAAAGCTTTCAGTTTCTTTGTAAGTTCGTCTGAGTGCAACATTTCAACCACCTGCCAACAACAACCAGCTGATAAGTCTTTAAACTGTCCAGATAAGACATCAGCAACAAAGACTGCACGCTTCTAAATTGTTAAATGACACTTCAGTTGCTCTACAGTTAACCCTCTGATGCATGGATTATGAAATCTTCAACCAAGATTTTTTAAACAATTTTTTTCATTCATCTTTAGGTGTGAATGAAACAAATTTCAACAAATATTTTTTGTAACATTTTGTTAATTTACAAATAATTTATTACATGTCCATCTCAGTGGACAGCGTGCATTCTGAACATGGAATATGTTGGCTTGACTTACTGAAGTCCAAATGGAGGGGCTCAAATGCAATAAAGTCTTCAACAGCTGTGCTTAATAGCAAAAATAAAGAAATAACAATTTTGAGTACCTGTCCACTGTAGTGACCATTATGTATCAAAGGGTTAAAAACGCGTGCAAATATTTTCCCAAGAAAAACATTTTAGGAGGTTTTTTTTAGGAAAATGCTTATTTACACCATTTATTGCACTACCGTCAGGACTGCAGGATAAAAAACAGAAGACACAAGAATCTAAGGACACAGAATCCTCATCGGCTCCAAGGTGTTTGTCCTGTTTGTGACCTCTGCCCTCTCTTCAGGAAAGCATAGATCAGTTAAGCAGCACTTCTACCTAAAGTTCTTACAAAATTACTTCCATGCATCCTCTGAGGCATAAAGCAAGCTTCTAGCTCCACCCATCATACGTGACTGCATGCTTAAATGAAATTATCTCATCGGGTTTGTACACTTCATTGCAGGACGTGACGGCTCTGAATGAAATAAAAGCCTGCCCCATAAACGTCATTGGGATTACTTAGTGCTCCCGCTGGACCTGCCAAAGTTTTTTCTTGTCTTGTCTGAGTTATCCTCATGCTGCTTTTCACTTTCTCTGTGCTGTTTTGCATTATTTTGACTTGCTGCTTTCAATGATTTCAATGCACAAGATGCTAAATGATCCACATTTCCAAAAATCTGAAACCGAAGGGTTTACTTGTGATTTTCAAAATAAAACAGGTTACAAATCGAGACTGCTTTCCACTCTGAGAGCTTGAAGTGTTGTGTCTGTGACATTTAAGAATAGTCTGAATCTTTTCGAATAATCAGAACGGTTTCAAGCCTATTTCTCTAGTCATCTTTATGCATTCTGCTGCACCCAATTTAGTCCCAAAATACAGTAGTTAGGGTTCAAACTACAGGTCAGGAGGCTATTCACCAACAGCAAATGACAAAGTCTGTCACAGAAAAAAAAAGGAGTGCAGTAATAACATGCAGCATGGTCTGCTATGCTGGTCATATTCTAGACTTGGGACTAGTCTGGCTAATTAAAGAGTTTAGCTCTGCAGGGACTGTTCTCTTTAGACAAAGTCTGGCTTCACTCATTTATATTCTCATAGTAGAAAGCTTCTAGTGAAAATGGAGAAAACTCCCAGTAAGAAATAACCATAAATGTTAAAAATCAGGAGGAAAAATCGAAGTCCAACGAGGAACGCCAACATGGCCTCCCATGAATGTTGCACGAGGAGTTTTTAAATGTGTCGGTGTGTAAATGACAAAAGCTACTATGAGTTCAGCAAAAATGTGAGTTCTCTCAATTGAAACTTAAAGGCATTGGATTGTGTTAAAGGTAGCTGTGTAATAGGGGAAGTGTGAGTGCTCTTACTTTCACTGGTAGCCAAGCAGAGGAAGGTTGCAGGGGTCAGTGTCAGTGGTCAAGGTTTCCAACACCAGGCTGCTGCTGCAAAAAGACAGCATTTCCTCTTTGGCCTTACTGGACTCCCTCTGCATGACGCACTTTCCATTGAACATGGTGCAGATGGAGTCATCACAGCCGTCCTCTCAGAATTTGCTGAGGGTTTGATGGTGTTTCTGTCAGGAGGAGCTGAGCTGCTGGAGCCAGCTCTGATCCTGAGAAAAATAGCAATAGCACATCTGGAAAGTTGTTTGTCCATTTTATATCACCATTTAAAATATTTTGTGTCCTTTCTGCAGATTAATCTTGTAATTTAAAAACATTTGCTACAAGATTTCAAATGAATGTAAACCTTGGTGCTTTATGCAACCTAGAAACCATCATCCACCTACCGGACTTGTAATTTTCTCATTTTGTCTTTAATTCTTGTTCTATAATATTTGATTTGAGGTGAAAGGGTCATACGTTTTTGCTGAAGCAGAAAAAATCCCTCTTTAGAAAACAATCTCTCATTTATGCCAGAAACCAGATTCCTCTGCAGAAAGGAGAGAACAAGAAAGCCAGCTGACTGTTGTGATGTAAATTGGACCCCAATCGACACGGGGCCCCCACAAAGTCCGCGATCTACACCTGAATGGGGTGTTACCTTAAATCGTGTTTACATCTGGAGAAGTCAGAGCGTGGATAACCTCTGAAAACCCTTTTCAGACGACCCTGGCGCCTGTTTGGACAAGCCCGCTGCGCGAAAACAAAAGACCAGCTTCCATTAATGATAATGAATCGAGAGCGAGACGCGCCAAGCAGGTGGATGTAGTTCCAGCCGGGAGCGCATCCACGGCGCACTAAACTATTATGCTAACGCAAACGCATAGATACTCACTTCTTAGAAATGTAATTGTTTTACGCATGAGCTGTTCATCTCTAGAAAGAATCCAAGTACGTAATTTCAGACTGAATTATGCGCACGTATGGAACACGCTCATTGCCTTGTTCTTTTTATTTCACCACATTAAACACACGTAAAGGTAATTATAGATAATCCCAAAGCTTTATGTTGTAATGATTACGTTAACTGACAGCTTTCATATCAGGTGGTGCGGGTTGCCTCCTGGCAGGCTGCTTGGCTCCTGTCCCAGGTGGGTTGATCCGCAGGCGCGTCACCCGTAAGGGGGGCGGTGCGCATCTTTATAGGCTGCTCTCCGCTGCGCTGCCTGTCAAACAGCAAACTGAGTCCCGCAGCCTGCAGGAGCAGCTTTATAAGAGCTAAATTTACCTAACTTTACGTTGTTTCCTGAGCTCTCACAATTGGCCAGGCGGCCTCGACTTGGAGGGTTATAAGATCGGGAGGACCTCCTACCACTTTTATACTTGTTCATGAGTCTGGAGCGCAGCTGCGGAAGAGGAGCGACCGTGATCTAGACGCACGGACTCTGGCGCGGCTGCCGCGACTCCAACGACACATAAGTTTGTGTATTGTTTCACCAAACGATGGCCTTAACAGGAGTGATGCTGCCGTCATTCTCGACATTCTCTAACCAAAGAGAGAAAACCTGGGAAAATGTAAGTTGCAGAAAGTCTTTATTTGTATTTGATTTGCTTGGATGATAAAGTTTTTAGTGTTTTGTGCTTTAAAAACGCACAAAATCAGCATTTAAAGTGTTTTGCATAAAACAGCAGTCTGGGATTTTGTGAAGAAACCTCATATTTATCTAAATTTCCTTTCTTTGTGTTTTCAGAGGTGGAAAGGGGAGTCCATGCTTGAACTGGTGCAAAACCTGGACAGTCAAAGCAAAAAGGACGACGAGGATCTGAGTAACTTTTTGGATCTGGATTTTATTCTCTCCAACACAACGGGGTCAGACAGCGCGGTGGAATACCTCGGCACAACTGACCCCAGCATGTACGCGACTGGAGGCTCAGTGCAGTCCTACCCAGCTGACGACCACCGCTCCCCGCCTCCCCCGTACGGCGCCAGCCTCATGACAGAGCTGCTCCGCTCCGAAGGAACCAGCAGCTATGGCGTTATGCGTAATCCCAGCATTCAGGGAAGATTTTACGTCAACACAACGCTTTACCCCCGCCCGGAAAACATCAAGCTGGAGCCAGCCGTGGACAGTTACGGTCCCGTTATGGGCATGGTGCCCCAGAGCTGCAGCAAAATCAAGCAAGAAGGCAACGTTTCTTGCATGATGTCCTTCGATCAGCCTCGGGTGGCCATCTCTCCTCGGGCAGCCAGCAACATGACCCCGCCACTGAGCCCCGATGACCAGGGAGCCACGGACTGCCAGGCACAGCTGTGCCAACCCATGAACTTCCAGCAAAAGTACCACACGCCGGCGGCGTTCCAGCACCACCCTCAGGCTCCCCAAATGCAGATGCCCTACCACGCTCCGCATCCTGGCTTTGGCATGTACGATGAAGGTCTCAACCTGCAGCCCGGCGCGCAGAGGATGATGCTCACTCCACCCTCCTCTCCCCTTGAGCTGCTTGACTCCAAACCAAAAAGAGGCCGGCGCACTTGGCCGCGGAAGCGCACAGCGACTCACACCTGCACGTTCGCTGGCTGCGGAAAAACCTACACCAAGAGCTCACACCTGAAGGCACATCTCCGAACTCACACTGGTACGTTTCAGCCTCTTTATATAACATAACCTGTGCGTAATTACGCACGGCACTCTCAATTTCCAACACAAACTCACGATATCCTTTGCCTTCTCCGCAGGTGAGAAGCCCTACCATTGCAGCTGGGAAGGTTGCGGATGGAAATTCGCCCGCTCCGACGAGCTGACACGTCATTTCCGCAAACACACCGGACACAGGCCGTTCCAGTGCCACCTGTGCGAGCGCGCCTTCTCCAGGTCGGACCATTTGGCACTTCACATGAAGAGACACATGTGAAAAGAGCCCACTGAAAGGACTTAGGGGTTCTCTGGGGGATTGTATTATTTCTTTTGTGATTCAGCTGTATTTTTTATTTAACATGCTCTCAACGTGGCCAAATCATTTTTATATAATATTGAAATGAAAAGCATATGTTCTAGTGTTATTATTTTGTAAAAAAAAAAAAAAAATTGAATAAACGTAGCGGGTACTACTTTGGTTGTATAAAAAGCTTTAGAAAAGCTTTGTTTGCTTAAGAGCAGGCAGACCAAGAAGGGGCTGGCCCTGTATATACTACTCTCCTTTGACAGAACTGGAATGCTGTGTTTGACACAAAAGTGCCTTTCTATGACTGTGCTACTGTAAAACTCTTTGTGACAGGACCAAAAAGAAGAAAAAAAAATAATGTAAATGTTCTTTTTGACAGGGGTAAAAATGCACATACAGTTGCCTAATGTGTGCAGAGACAACGTTTCATTTAAACTGCCTCAGTGTCTCAACTGCCTTCAACCATTTCTGACTCTTTCTCGGTGTGTGAAACTTTTGGATCCAGCCCCTCTGTACACTATCAGGGCTTGATGTCCTGTGCATTATTTTTTACTTAAATTTATATAAATAAGTACCTGGATTTTATACTGTAAAGTGTGTATTTATTGTAAATATTAAAAAAGTAATTAATTTGAAAAATTTCTGACTCCTCACTACTTTTTTTTTACTCTCCCATGAACTTTGCTGTCACTATTTTTATTTCTTGATTAACCACAACCACCCACTCAACTGGTTTCAGAACCGTGCTTGAAAGTAGGTGCAGCAAACCTGCAGATCATCTAAGAAGTCAGAAAGAATTCAAAATGTGGGCACTTGATTTCCAGTGATGTTTTGCAGCTGCAAGACAGAAGGGTAGCTGCTTGTGGGCTTAGCCTATAAATACAAACACTCCATTTTCATAATTACAGAGTGAGGCCAGGAGCCGTCTGGACAGAGGGGCACAGCAAACCCTCATCAGGGAGCCCATAGACTCTTTCTGATGGGTAGAAATTACAGTAGGACATCAAAGGACCTTAATACTACAATTACACACAGTCACTCTAGTTTCAAGTAGCCACGTCCATGCTTACGACATATTTATATGCATATTGTGTCAGTGAGCATTTGTATTTTCTGCATGAAAGACAGCATTGAGTCAAAGCCTGACGGCATTTCTGCAGATATGAGTTTTTATTGTTTAGTGAAAACAGAGCTAGCAGTCTTCTTAGAGAATATAAAAGGTTTCCATCTAAGAGATTAGATTTAAAAAGAAAAGAGGAAGCGCATACTGTGTGAAAAAATATCCACTGAAAAATGCTAATAGATCACTCTCATTTCACTTTTTTAGCTCTAATATCGATGCACAAACTCTCTTTTAGTGTCTTGACAAGGAGAACAGAGAAATTTTGAGCCACCGTTTGTCTAACATAATTTGAAGTCACTGATTTGATGAAAAGTTTTTCTCTGATTGTGATTAAATCATTAAAAACAAACGTTTGTGTTCCATTAATGCTTAAAAGTCTCATTTATTTAGATAAAAGTGGTTGCAACTTTGAGGAAAACCAAACTTAAAAGAGCTTGTTTGACTTAAATACATACATACATACATACTGTGCAATATTACATTTTACAGTGTTGATATGTAAAAATAATGATAAGGCATTGTTACGCTGTACACAGTCACCATGTGCCAAATAAACCAGATTAGTGTTGAAAGAAAACAACATCTTAAAGCATCATTCCCAAATAAAGTTATTTAAAAAAAACAGTAAAACAAAATCCATATTTGAGTTAATGAGGAAGAGTTGTGATGGAGTAGCATCTCTGGTGTGTAGAACAGTAAAAAAAAATAACATGTTATAAGTAACAGCACTGTTGGTTTATAGGTTTCAGTTCATAGAGGCTTTTGGTAGGAGTGCAAGTTTTCCAGGTGTCCCAACGAGTTAGAAGCAACGTTAAAACCATCTGACACTTGGACAGGATGGGATAACGGATGAGACCTGATTATCCCGAGCATCTTGATGGCTTCCAAACACGTCTTCAATTTATGCCATATATAAATATGCAGGCATAAATAACCAGAAACGTTTAAATCATGATCGATGTCTTCGATAAGACTTTGGTTATTGAAAAAGATAAATGGTCATCTTTTATTATTTATACTTAAATATATAAAAAAGAAACATTATTTTGAACAGCACAAACTAAAATGAAAGATTGTGCTGTATTTTCTCTGACTTTCAACCCAGAAATTTGGAGCGAGTTAAAGTATAAAAAAACAGACTTCATGTTTTACTTCATACACCCTCGAATTACAAAAATAAACAAAAATATCTGCGAACAGAACCCCGACTAATATGACCAGTACAGCTCTTCAAACACCTACGCTGGTTTATTATTGAACTCGTTTTGGGTCACGATGCATTTTTTGGAGATAAATAAACAAAACGAACACTAAACACTAAGTGCAGCAGAGAGAGGTGGGACGATGAGATCTGAGAAAAGTTGATGGAGTTTGTGCAACAGCTGTGTCAGAACGCTGGTGGAGGAGCTCCACCTCCTGCAATCAGCTGTTTAAAGTAAACACACTCAAACAAGCTAAGAGGGCAGGTTCACTCTGGTGGAGACACGTAACAATGATCACTTTGCTTTTAATGCTTAGTTTCTGATTTTAAACCAGAGCAAAAGGCGGTAGGTTTGATGGCACGCAGCTGCTCCAGTGGATTCGAACAGGAATAAACAGTTTGTGATGAGGGTTGCACTCCATCAGACTTCCAACAACTACCTGTTGACTTGCTAAAAACAACGGCTGAAACAAAACGCTGCAGAAAAAGTCCCAGTGTATAGAAACGAAGTAGACCACAGTAACAGAGACTTTCAGTTAAAGATTAGTTTCTGGAAACAACAAAAGGAGGCACCACGAGGTGCTGAATTCATGTTTCAGCTGCTTTCTGCTTCAATCGGCTGATCTACAAAGTCTGTGGCTGATTTTTGTTACCACTGACCCAGTTTGCATTAAAACTCTAAAGAATTTAAACGTACTGTAGCTCATGATTAAAAACCTAAATTTTACTAACATTATTCAGAGTATTTAGATCACAATAAAGCCTGCAAGTCTAATTAGTCAGGGTTGCTTCTTTCCTACAAGATATGGAGCTAGAGAAGGTCCTGTAGTGTGAAGCCAAAGTTATTTCTCTGCATTCTTCATGTTTATAGATGTATTTTTGATGCAATGTACCTTAAACCGTTGCAAAAACAGGAGTCACTTGAGCCGTTAGAGAAACACTGGCGCCTCAGATGACATAACAGGAGGCAGAGCTGACGTTGAGACTAGAGCTGGAAGGCAGATAAAGGAGGACAAGAAAGCAGTGATGGGGCAGCCCGGGTCAAGCATCGGAAATGTCCGCTTTGCTCAGAGCAATGGCCAACTCCAGGTCCTGCTGCTCCTGCAGCCGCAGCCTCCTCCGCCGCTCCTGCTCCTCACGTTCGCTCTCCCGCTTGACCCACTCCAGCTGCTGGCTCTCATTTCCAAACTAAAGCAGAAAACCTCCCATTAGATTTAAAAAGGAGAAACAAGACACGAGAAAAATCACTCAGAGAGTCAAACGAGCAGCCCTTTAGGTAGATTCTCCTAAATTACATAAGCATTTAATAATATAGCCTTCACAAAAGGGTGCAGACCTAAACGATGCAGAGATAGACTTAATTTAGACTCCAACATCTAAGAAAAGAGGGTAAGAAACTTTTTACACAACACACTATGCTAGAGGCACATACTAGTCACGTTTTCCCACACGGGATCACGGCCACATCACATATTTTACAGAAAATAATTATGTTTATGAATCACAATATTCAGATTATGCAGCGGGGACAGGTTTTTCACATGCAAAGGACTTTCCACCACACTCTTTATACAATCTTACCTTCATGTGCTCAGATCCTGGCAGAAAAACAAAAATTACAATGGATCCCCGTACAAAAACCCACAAATCCCCTTTACAACAATCATGCTGCATGAAGGGTAAAACTAATTCTGGTCGTGTCAGAACATACAAAAAGCTACCATGCATCACCTTCCCACCTGAGAGCATGCTTGGCCGTTAGGCTACACGAGATGAAGAAAACGGAAGATGAGAGACAAAGAGGCAGATTTACATGGCTGTGCTCTGCTTCGAGGCACGTCATGCCTTTGACAGCAAATAAGCCTTTAGCTTGCACGTCTTACACTTGAAGCTTGAAAAATGTTCCTCAAGCGCTACCTGAGTGGGCAAGTTCACCACCTCGATAAGCTTATAAAGTCTCACTTGCAGTGAAAATAAAAGAATACCTGAAGCAAGATGCTGACTACCATGCTAGCGCGTCCGCCAGGATGACAGGTGAAAAGCCAAACTGTCCAAGTCAGACATGCAAACACTCGAATTTCTTAGAAAACCAAAGATGTCAAAGAGGCAATTGGACATTTTATGACTTGTTAGTAAGCAGCCAGTAAACACAGTTATCCTATTTGTGGTGAAGAAACAGAATGAGGCCCAGAGAGGTGAAACAACACCTCTGAGGCCTGCGTTCTGGAGAGGGCGGTGGTGAGATCAGCAGCTCATGCAGACAAAATTAATTGCCTAATAGAAAACTGAGAGTAGACTACACTTACACTAAAGTCTGCACAACCCACAGGACAGTCTTTGGATGCTTTACTCATCATAACAAAAGAGTTTTTACTGACTGCTGAGGCGTTAACGCCCTGAAGTGGCTGTGACGAACCCAAACTGAACATACCAACCAGAGAAGATGAAAATAAGGGTAAATAAACACCAATGACGTGGGAAAAATAAAGCATCTTTCCTTCAGATGCCCACAAAAAAAAAATAAAAAATGGCACCTCTCTTGGGAAAGTAAGCTCACACCTAAAAGGCAAATTTATAACACTACACATTCACAGGAAGCCTACAGCTTTAGGTTCACATTTGCAGAATATTCACCCTAGGGGAAAACGATAATGGTTCAAAAAAGGCGTTAACCACAATTTTGAGTAAAGCTCACTGATGCATTGATGCTTGAACATGCACAGTGTTGCTTTTCTGGAACACCAACATAAAAAATAAAATCAAATTAAAACAGACACACCCTTGTCTACTGTAAGCTGCAAACTCATTAGCAATATTAGAAACAGTTTTTTAACTCATCTCTATTTATCTGAATAAATATCTATTACAAAACCAACCTGGCATTGTTTTAATTTGTGTTGCAATACAACTGAAGGAAAATGGCTAAACAAAGATCAGATTTAGTTGTGCAGCGTTCTCAGTAACGCACATATTTAGAACAGTTCACGACTTCAGGAGTGTGCTTCTCACTTCCCTTTTACGAGTGAGGCACACAACTAGAGCAAACTCGCTGGCAAACCGTGGCGACTCATCTCTACCCTGCAGTGTGTGGTAAACGCAAAGGGGAACACCAGCTTTCTCAGGCTGTGGCTTCTGCTTAAAGAATAAATGCAAGGTCACAGCGGAAGGGCATGGCCTGGGAAAGGCCTGTAGGTGTTGTGTGACTTCACATGAACTCAAAAAAGCAAGATCAACACAAAGATAAATGCATTAGAAGAGCAGCAGAAAGTGGCTCTCGAGCTCATCTCTCTGCAGGCAAATTTAACCAAACTCTGGACGCTATAAGAAGACTAATCTAAAATAGATGTCCTATAAAAATGACCAATCAGCAGCATCACATCTGTGCCAACAGCTTTCCTGTTTACAACATAAAAAGTAAAAATGGTAGTGATCTCATCATTTAGGGAAGTATTTTTGTAGAAAAAAGTGAAACAAAAACAAATCTAAAGAGATTTACCATAAGGAGGTGCAGGCCGGTTAGGGATGCTTTTCTTTGAAGGGACTGCAGGACTGTCAGACTTCTGATCACAAAGATAAAAAAGCAGCTTTACAACATAAAAAGTATAACAAAACTGCAAAGAAAAGCAGAAATGACACAAATTTATTGCACATCTGGACAACTTCAACGTACGGCTTCAGTGGAACGCTGCAGCTTTATGGTGCAACTGATTCATGAGCGCCAGGGTCTCCACAGCTTACCTTTGACATCTTACTGAAGTCAGCAAATCCACCCGCCCTGCCTCCAAAGGGGTCCGCTCTTCCAAATAAATCTGTGACAAAAAGTGCACAAAAATGCATTTTGGAACATTTGAACACAAGCGAAGAAAGAGCAAAGCATTGTAATGACGTCCAACCACACATCAAAATTATCTCTGCACTTTGCTTATTCTCAAAGGGCCTGCAGGCTTTTTTTAGAGCTGAAAACTATGCTCAAACGTTTATTTTCCGTGACATTTTTCAGCTAAAAAACTCTGTAAAGCGAGGGTTTTGTTTAACCTGACGTAAGCATCTGATTGGCTAATTAAAGGCGTCAGTCGGCCCTCTGTTCACCAGAACTGTGCCTGGGTTGTTTTGAAGCAGAGTGGTGCACCGCTTAATAAGAAAAAAAAACAACAAACTGCAGATGGCTACAGTGAAAAAACAAAACATTGTAAGAGAATATGTTTGTTGTATGTGTGCACCCACAAAGTGCCCCATTCATGCCCCGTGTTTAGATTTACGCACGGTAGCTCTGCTCGGGTCTACAGTCGACCCTGTGTAGTGCCAACAGATCATCGAGCCGCAACTTGAAACGACTTCCGCAACCAGCAAGGTGCGCCGGTTCAATGGGAGCAGGTATAAAGAGAGGACAGAGGCAGGAGTGAGCAGCTTAGAGGAGTGGCAGTGTACTGGAGCGCTGAACAACCAGCAGTCACTGGGTTTCTGTTATGCTTGGCTCATGCACACCTCCTGTTTTTCCAGGGTAAGGGGGAGTATTTTTAGTTGGCCAGTAGTTAAATGCAAAGGTACTTGACTAAAAATAACTCAAGACCACAGGAAAATATGAAGCCACAGAGTAAAAATGGTTTGCCCCTGATGCCTCCCCTTTTCCTTAAAAATAAATAAATAATAATAATAATAATAAAAAAATAAATAAAAAAATCCACACGTCACCAAGAACAGCAAAGAAAGACTCTTTGAGATGGGTTTCATCCTAGTGACACTCTCATGTTTAGTCCGTTAATAGCACCACATTCTGGGAAACATGACTGGAAAGGTTCATTTTGTGAGTTCAGGAACTAAAATTATTTATGACAAAGTGATCTGGGATGACGTCACCGTTAATGTCCTCCCACTGCCCTTTTCTGATTCCAGTAAATATACAGTCTCTCTGGAAAAAACGGTCTTTAAGAGGAAGGTATTTAACGAAACAAAGAAACTCTTAACCTAAAGCAGGTTTCTGAGCTTAAACGTCACAAACCTGAATCTTTTGGTTTGGGGCTGCTGGATTTGAAAGGGTCACCACTGCTGAAGGCACTAGGCTGAGATTAACAAAACAAAAAAGCATTAGTGACCATTAACAAGTTTCAATCACTGTGTTTAAATAAAATGCAAATCCTACCTTCACTGGTGGCGTGGGTTTCCTACTGAACGGATCTGCAGATCCAAACAGGTCTGACTTGTCAGTCGTCTTAAAGAAGTCTTCTGGCGAGGTACCTTTGAAGGGATCGTTCTCTTTGAAAGGATCTTCTCCGAATGGATCTGGAAAACCAGAAAAACATTTTTTTCCAAGAAACTTTTATTCACATGGAAAGACAATTTTTGTACGCAACACCCAGAAAGCAACAAATGACACGACAGGAAAAAATGTTCCTCATTCAAACCTTTCATGAGGTCGTACTTGAAGGGGTCGTCTCTCAGGAACGGGTCAGCTGAAGGCTCCTTAGTGCTGCTGTTGTTAAACATGGCTAACTTTGATTTGAAGGCCTCGCCCTGATGAAATGGAAAAACATTCATACTTAATCAAAAAGGAAATAAAATGTTATAAAACTGCATTAAATAAAACTTAAGAAATTTGACTTCCTACTAAAAATAAAAATAAAGAGTGAAACTGTTGAAAAACAATATCCTCATGAGGTCAGAAGGGGAAGTTGATTCTGGGTTCTAAATTTTCATTATTATTTTTTGTATTGGGAGGAAACACTAAGGGTTCCTCACTGCATTTCTGACTCCTCCGTTTTCCCTGTCAGAGGACCCTTCGCTCAGGTCCGGAAGGTTGTTCAAGTTCCCCTTGTTGATTTCGCTCAAGGCGTTATTATACTGATCAATGGTTCTGGTCATTTCCTTTTGGCTGTCCTGGATCAGCAAAAGCTTACTGCGAGCCTAAAGACACAAACAAAAAAATGAATGACACATCTGATTCAGTTACACGTGCTTTATTTGTTTTAGCAAGTGCAAGAAAATAGCACAAATAGCATTTGTTGGCAAATACAGTTAGCTTTAAATCAATATTTCCAAAGTGGATTTCTGCATTCATGGACCTTTTTTGTTAAATTTGAGATCTGATGGATTCTTCTCTGATGATACGCAGGGACGCTCCTCAAAAGCATCAGCTCATTTATAAATTGAACTGAGGTTTGGTGATTAAGCTGATAATAAAAATGATGATGCACCAACTTGGCGTGTCTGTGCATCAGAGCTTTGTGAATATGGCAGAAAAACAAACTCCACAATAAACAAAACAAAAGATCAAACCTCCTGCAGGTCGTCTGTTTGCACTGACCTGATTAATCTCCTCCTGGGTGCTTTTGAGCGACTTGACGACGCTGTCCAGCTGAACGCGCCCAGAGAGCAGCCTCTGCTCCAGCTGGGACTCCTCCTCCTGCAGCCGACTCAGGTCTGCCCTGGTGCGACTCAACTCGTCTTCCTGGCTGCGGAGGTTTGTCTCCCTAGATCGGATCTGGCTCTGCAAGGATGAAATCTGGGGAAACGCAAGATAAAGATGGAGAAAAGTTCAGTTACTTGTGATTGAAGTCGCCCTCAAAACCCCAAATTTACCGTCAACAGCGGATGATTTGTGATTATATGAAAGCAATAATATAAATTATAAAGTCTGTTTATGTAGTAGACGTCTCTAACCAGCTGACTCTCTTCTTGGCACTTCTGCTTCACTTCATTGAGCATTCCCTCCAGTTTGGAGCGCTGCTGGTCCATCTCATCCAGACGCCCCTGAGCGTCCTGCTTCTGGGACTCCAGGCTGTGCAAGCCGCTGCTCTCTCTATCCAGGTTACTCTGCATGTCCTAAAAGTCCACACATCTAGAAATCATCCTCCTTTTTTTCCAGCTGTTAACTTTTTTAGTTCATGGTGCAAGTTGAGTGGGATTTCCAACTTGTGGGATTCAACAGATCACTTCAATTCTGCTTAGTAGCCTTGCCACAGATCTTAAGAGCTAATTCTTACCTGAACATCACTGTTTTTTGATCTAATGGTTTCTTCCTTTTCCCTGATTGCTTGTTCCAAGAAGAGTTTCTCCCTAAAGAAAACCAAAATCCATTGTTAATGTATTTCTGTGTAGAATACAGTTTGTAAAAGGCCTGAAATGAAAAGAAAGCAACACATTTCTCGTCAAAAGTGTAAAGAACCCTAAACTATGCAGCATTATTTAAATAAGTTCTGCACAATGTGGTCTCATTGTCCAACTGGCACACTCATCGACATTTTCTTTTATATATATTTAAACTCTATAATTTTGTGGCACTTTTCTTCCCTCTAAAAATCACACACCAATGAGCATATTCAGGGAAATGCAGAAGCTATTGTGGTATGAAAGTTGAATTTTGACTCTCTGCACGTCCCTTTGTTTTTCTAAAGTGGAGAAAAAAACAACGCGGTCCTCCTGCTACTCAGGGTGCAAACGCTCACCTCTGCAGCTGAGCTATTTCCTGGCTGAGGTCATCCAGCTCTTTGATTCCTGTCAGCTCCACCGACCCGACAGAGCTGGTGCTGTCCTGAGGCGAAAGACGCAGAGATACATGAGCGAGATGGTGCGTGGAGGGAGACAGCATTAAGGATGACATGATGGGACTGTAGACATGAGGGAAATGTTCTGATATGCGTGTGGCAGCCACAAAGATATAAAATGAGGAAAAAGTCCAGAAGGGATGTGAGTGGTGTGCAGGGAGAGAGAAGACTTCCCTGCTGCTTAAGAAAACACAAGTTACAGGAAGGAAACATCATATGGATGCAGACAATACATGAATGACATGAAATGCACAGAGACAAGACAATATAAGCTTACACGAAAGTAAAACTTGCATTTTAGTCTCGCCTCTCAACAGTCTTTGAGAAAGAGCTCCAAAGTTCCAACAGAAAATTGTTGTTTGGTAGCACTACAAGATAATTGTTCTGTATCTCCTTAAAACAAGACTAAAGAGTTTTTAAAACTATTGCTTTCAAACTGGTTTCAGTGGTTCTTCAGCCATAAACCTGAGCAACTTCACATTGGACTGCACTCGGTAGCCCTCCGCTGACCAGAAACGGCACTTAACAGTGCTTTGGTTCAGGTGGGAACACTAGTGGAAGGTCTCCGTTTTAAAGCAATAGTGGTTTACCGTGCCAGCAGCTAATATAAAGGCTAACTATTAATTTTCAGTTTGCAGACTATCAAAAAAAAAAAAAAAAAAAAAAAGCACAAGAAGAACTTTTTTTTTTTTTTTTGCTGGCATATTGGCAGAGCCTGGAAGTAAAAGTAGTCCAATGTCTTTGGATGTGAAGCAAAGAGCTAAAACCAGGGTGAACACTACACTTGTATGTGGGAGCATGGACTGATGATGACCTGGCTTTGTTGTTACTGGACATGTAAGTAATAACATTTTTTGTCCAACAGTGTGGATCTTTTTGCTTTGTGGCTTTTTGTAGTGTCAGTAGGCTTGTGTTAGCATTAGCTTGCCGCTAGCGATAGCTAAAGCAGACTGTGGCAGAGTTGTTCATTCATGACAGTAGTAACTTTGCTTTCAACCAGCTGGGGGGACAAGCAAGAAACCTATTTAGTGTTGCTTTAATTAGTCACTCTTGGTTAACAAGTTTTATTCAACAAGGACTGTTTTAGAGGTATTAATATTACATGTATTTAATATGAAATATCCATGTAACTTAATTTTTAGACATTTAATATGAACCATTGCTTTAAAAATATTCATAAATTAGGCCATACATACTGCAGCCTGATCCATTTTATTTTATGTCAACCCACATTTATCTTTATTTTATTTCAAGGTTAAACATTTTCTCATTTAAAAAGCCAAATATTAGTTAGATAATACATTTAGAATCAGAAAATCTGAAACAAACAAATAAAAAAAACACTTAAGCAAGTACCAGCTGCTGACAGGTGGGGAGTTCACACAGCTGTGCTTCTGTCACACTGAGCTTGCTCTGAACCACAGCTCGAGACAGATCAACAGCGCCACCTTGTGACATTTGCTACTCACTACTCACTCTGCGTGTTTTAGCAGCTGAAGCAACGTCTGGTCTCAGAGAAGGAAGAAGTCCCAAATAACTCTGGCGGACAGGTCAGAAACAGGGTCAAAAAGCACAGATACAGTTTTGCACTGAGAACCAGAAAGCAAAGCTTCCCGTTTTAGGAGCAGCAGAAAAACAGACTCTTAAGGTTTCAATGAATGTTGACTTAGCAAGAAAAAAAAACAGGTTTTTGTGAATAAAGTCAGGACTCACAGGGCCCGCTGCTGATGTTGGAGTCCGCTCTGAAGGGGGGATCATGTCTGAAGTGAGAGCAGAGGGGGGGTCTATGCCTTTATTCACCTTCTGTTGGATAAGATGCATGGCCAGAGCAAACTGTTCCCGGTTCAGCTTGCCCGTTTGCTTTGTGTCAGCAAGTCCCCTATGGAAAGGAGAAAGAGCTTCTTAAAAAAACAAATCAGCAATATTCACTTTCATTTCAAAACTCTGAGATTCCCATTGCGGTGTGTTAATCATGTTAACATGCCCCTGGTTCCAAATCTGAAGGTAGTCTCAGTTGTTGTCTCACCATATCTGAGCTAGCATCGTCTGAGAAAGGTTGGACTGCATGAAAATCTCGATGATGTCAGTGCCTGTGATGCAGCCGTTATTGTCGATGTCGGTGTTTGTGAAGAGTTCGTCATATTTGGCTTTGTCGACCACTGAAACCACCCAGTTCACCGCTGGCTGGAGGGAATGAAGGACAATGCGTGGTTTAAAATGAGGAATATGACAACTTCTCCATTTGTTCTGCTAAAACGATGGAAATCAAGAATCAATTTATTTAGTTACATCTGTTTTTGAGTACTTATCCCCAGAATTTCTAAAATGTCATTTTCATCAATCCACACTAGTTTGTGGTTGTGACACACTCAAACCTGTACAAATTTTATACAAAATAAAATGATCAATATGCTTAAATAAAATCATAAAAAACAAAAGTTGTCAACTTTTATTACTCTAAAAATAATATATATATATATATATATATATATATATATATATATATATATATATAATATTTATAACTAATGACTCTGTTTTTGTAACCTAAACTAATTGATCAGACAACTCAATCACAGATAAAACTGTCCAATCAGATGAAGTCCTGAAAATCAGTGAGATTTAGGGTGTTACAGAAAAAAAAGTAGTTGTTTACTGTATTTAGTGTGCAAGGAGCTTTCGTTTGATTTATTTTTTTTACACACAAAAATTTTAATTTAAAACTTTGAGCTGATCTAAATGCACCAGGAAAAGCTTGAGGTGTCACAGAGGTAAAAACTGTGATTTCTCATATTTAGTGGGTGTGACTGAAACATTTCAAATAAAAGTGAGCTTTACATGACGTTAAAACAAAAACATTTATTTTGATTTAAGCGGAGTCCAAGCTATTTTGGTCTCTTGACCACATAGTTTAGCTCCTTTTCAAAGAAACTTCTTTCTCAACAAAGTCATGGGTGACAAATCCTAGCAGCTATATCGAGAAAGAGGAAACCAACTGGGCTTCACGCAATACCTGAAACAATGTGGTAGAGCAAGTCCAGTCATTAGCAGCTGAACAGTTAATACATGAAATACTAGTCTCTCCAAAACTCCAAGCTAAGACATTGAGACACCAAGGCTGAAACTAAATCAATAAACTAAAAACGTTGTTCTTATAAAACATATTTCCTGTGTTTTGTATGTTATACTAGATCAAAATAATAAGCAGTAATTTGATTCTTGATACAGAATAAAGCAGCTGTGTGAAGTGCATCGAGCAGAACACCTTTTACAATTTTGTTTCTCTTTCTTTGAAAGGCTTTATGTAAAGATCCTTTAAGGCACATTTATAACAAGTAGTTGGGTTCAAAACGAACATTTAAAATGTATTACAGCTTTGTATTCAACCCTTTTTTCAAGTTTCATGAGAAAATTACATTAAAGCAGTTAAATTTAACACAAATTTTAGAAATGCAGCTAGGTAAGGTAAACTCATGTTGAAGTTGGTAATGTTAGTAATTATATGGACCGAATATTATGAACTAAATATGATCACGTAACACATAGAAAACAGAGTAATATGACATACCGCTGAGGTCGATTTAAAGGAGTGCTGTGGGGATAGGTTGGTGGGACTGGGTGTGTGGGAAGTAATGGACCCCAGAGAAGAAGAGCTACTGCCCACAGGAGATGCAGTTCTCCCAAGAGGAGAAGCGGTGCCTCCAAGAGTGGGAGTGCTTCTCAGGGTGTCTTTGAGAGGAGCCAGACCAGATGTAAGACCAGACAAAGCAGGCAGCACAGCCACAGCACCTGGTAGCGCATTTGCAGATTTTTTCCTTTTAGAAGGTGGGATAAGAGATGGAGGCAAACTACTTGGGACGGGCTCTTTTTCCATGGCTCGATACACGAGATGCAATGCCTACGAAGTGAAAAACAAAGAACATTAGAATTTGCAATAGCACCAGTGTGTTTAATGGACTACAGAAAAAATGACTAAAAGAGGCTAAGCATCCCAATTTACCACTGTGAATTCCTCTTTGTCCAAATGTCCATCTTTGTCTACATCACTCAGGTCCCAAATCTACAAAATCATAATATACAGATATGGATACACAAAATTTGAAACAAGTGGCAGAAAACAGTGCTGTATAATGTGCAAATCACCTTTCCCAACACATCCAGAGGTAATTTGGAGTTTATCAAAACTGGTCTGACTTTTTCACCAGAGAGGAGGCCATTCACAGGAGACAAACTTTCAAATATTCCTTCAAACTTCCCTTTTTCATCAGGCTGAGAGAGCGGATGAAAATATTAAATAGGAGTTATTCTTTATTAAACATCAGAATAATGTAGATAATATTTTACAAATCTGATCATGCTCACCCTAATTGCCCACTGAGAGTCAAATGCTGTTGTTGACCCACTTAATAATTGGCTGTCAGTGTCCCTCTGCAAAAGTAAACAGTAGACAGAATCTCATTACCAGAATAAAAAAAATGCTGGACACCATGTATTTCTGTAACTATCAGTTTTGAGATACTAAATGTTTGATTTCATGCGTTATATCTGCAACAAATCAAATCAAAGTCTTAACAGTTGCCAGGGAGGTCAGTTTAAACACTTACAAATTTTGGTGCAGCTGCAGTTTGGTTGAGGTTGTTAAGACTGATATCATTTCCACCTTGTGCTGATGCTACAAGTCTCAGGGCAATGAAGAACCCCTAGGAAACAGGGAGAAAAACAAAACAAATCTAAGGTTTTGTGCAAACATCAGCATCTTCCATCTACAACAACCACAAAGAAACCGCCTTTACCCGTTTATCCAAGTAGCCTTTTCTATCAGAATCTGCCAAATCCCAAATCTGAAAGGGCAAATAAAACAAAATTAATTTAGATGTTGTGAACTGGAAATGTGAGATTATTTTGTTTAAAAGTGTGCAGATGAGTTTGAGAATCACCTTTCCAAGAGTATTGTCTGACAACCCAGACTTCTTAAGAAACTGAGCTGCATCGCCAGCTGATATTTTTCCTGTGTTTCTTGGATCAAGCTAAGATAATGAAAACAATAAGTGCTCTCATTATTTGATGTTACATGAATGATAATGCTCAGTTCACCTGATACACCAAAATAATTATATTAAAGAATATAAATGGCAACACCAAGCTTACCTGTCTGTAATAGCTTTCAAAAACTGCATTTCCACCTGATAACTGGACAGAAGACAAAAAAAATAAATGAATACAATTATAAAAAGGACCAATTGTTAGAGACAAACATGGCTAATTAGGTTAGTAGATTGTCTATCACAAAGAAAACAACTTATAGTTCCAACAGCTAATCGAATGTACATAACTTAATTCGTCCTAAACTTAGTCAATTTTTACTTAAATTAGGTTATTTAAAAATAAAGTAATAAACTGTCAGTTCGTTTTTCTTTGCCATTCAAACGTAAAACTTAGTCATCAACCTAGCCCGTATATTATGTCGATGAACCTAGCTGACAATGTTTACTCGGAAGACAACGAAAACTTTCTAGAACGTTTTTTTCTGGCTAATGTTCCTCGCGGTTTATAGCGTGGTGAAGTCGTAACCGCGCAAAAACAATGTCACGGTCGTTTAACAATGACAAAATGGACATTTTCAGAGTTTTTTTTTGGTATTTTGGTCGTTGTTACCTGACTGAGGGTCATGAGCGCCGCCATCTTTCCTGGTGTCTTGAGTACGCGCACAACGCTCACGCCCCTGAAGGTAAAGCCTGGTTCACACAGGCACGCGCGGGAGAAAGAATGCGTCTTGCCCGTATGCCCTTTTTGCGGTGCTTTAACGCAAATATATTAGTAGAATTTATCTTTGCGGCTTAGCATGTTTTTATTCGTTCAACACCATTTATGTAGTTCGTCCTCATTCTTAGGGCAGTTTAAGATGGCCGTAACATGTGGAGATAATAAAGTAATACTTTTGTTGAATTTATTTTCTTAAATTTATATGAATTTGATTTTTGCTAAACACGATGGCTAATCAGAAACAAAGTATTTTACTTACAAAACACGAAGTGTACTATATACAGAAACGAAAGTATGATGCTCAAAAAAATTTCCGGTTTTCAAAATAAAATTGTCTCTCGAAACTTCCGGTTTCAAAATGTCCTTTTTTTTAAAGAAATACTTTTCGATTAAACGAAATTTAAATTATTGATTTAATCAGTACGTCTATTTTTAAAAGAAAAAATTTTATGGTAAGTTTGGGGTTTCTTTGGTTACAACTTTTTTAATTGCAGTTTTTTGGTTGAAGTACCCATTTTTGATTGAATAAACAATCTTCAAATTTAAAGGAAACACCTTGATATAATTATGTACTAATTTATTACAATTATGCATTGCTCAGAATAGAAAGGAGATATGATGGAAATTATCCAATTCTTGATTACCAAAAATCAAAAGCAAGGGGTCTGTCATCTGTTTCTGTATGTGCTAACCTAGTATTTTTACAATCATGCATTGACATTTTGAGCATCTCACAGCTTTTTCATACAAACTAGTAACTAAATATATTTACCATTTGTATGCTAAACAAACTATAGTAATCAGACCGTACAGTAATAATCTTTTAATTAAAACTTTGGCATCAAAAACATTCTGATGGGTAAAAATGTGTGCAACTCTTGCAAGAGTGACACATCAAAAAAACTTTCATCAGAATGTACTGCAGCTGTGAGCACAATAAGTCATGTTGAATTAAATTTCAATGACAATTTTAAACATTTACTAGCTTTAGGCCTTTTTATATTGTAATGTTTCATTCAAATATGCCATCAAGAAAAAGTAATTCAAGTTGATGTCAGTGCAAAAGAAACATCCAAAAATAAATTACAATACCAATGTGCCCATTTTCTGACCCTGTTTATTTAATATTAATTTCACAGGTAGAGCTTGAATCTGATTTGTGACAAAATGTAACAATTTCAAAACAAGAGATTGGTGGTCAAGCCACAGAATGATAGACAACCCACAGTACCAATTCAGTAAGGGTAATGTGACAAAAAAAAAACCCAACATCAAGTCCATTAATACCCATTCAACCCAATTTTCTACATTAGACTCCAAAGCCAGGTTGCCTGTATCTCTGGGAAAGGATGCACAGCAGCCACAATACCCCTGAGAGTTACAGGACAGTTTCTGTGGAAGGGACATAATAAAATATTTTCTCACTACATTTCCCCCCCTCCTCAAAGCTCATCTTTAGGTACTGATTCTTCATCTTCTGTGTCTGAAAGTGCTTCTTCCATCTCATCCTTTGTTTCTTCTTCTTCTTCCTCCTCCTCCTCCTCCTCTTCCTCCTCCTCCCCCTCTTCATTAGTTTCTTGTTCTTTTACTTTTGCCTCTTCCTCTTTTCGTTTAGCATCATCCTGTTCTTGTTTCATTTTCTTCTCTGGTTCCTGTGGAGAAAGTTGACAGTTACAGTTTTGCGTGCACCGAGTTCCACTCACTGAAGACAAGCTTTACACATTTGCTCATCAGTTCCAGGCATAACTAATTCCAACATACCTTTGTCACACCCCATGTCTCCTTTCCAATTGCTTCTGCTTCCTTCACATCATCGCATATCAGGAAGTTGTCAAAAATGGTGCCAGATTTCACCTGAGAAACAGTTTTAAAAGTTACCATCTTTGCCTCTTTACTTCTACTTTAAGAATAAACAAGATACTTTCAGATTAATCTCTCACCTGCCAAAGATCAAGACCTAGCACACCAATGTTGTCAAACTTGTAGATATTAGAATCAGGACTGTATTCAGGATTGTCAATTTCAGGATGCACCCAAACTCCTTTGTAGTTGGGGTTGTCAATCTGTTTCGGTTTCCATTCTCCCTGCAACACAAGAGCACATTTATCAGGCTGCAGAGGTGAACCACAAATGCAGGAACTCATTCAAAGCATTTGTTCTAAATTTGATTATCCAAATGTGCCCTACTTTGTACTCTGGGTTGGGAATCATAGGTGGCTCCCACTCTCCATCCATGTCTTCTTCCCAGTCTTCAGGTTTTTTGGCATCAGGGTCAGGGATATTTTCAGGCTTGTCCCAGTCCTAAAACATATAATTCAACATTTTAAATGTTATACATACACTTCCCAAAAAGTGACACCTTAAAATTCAAAAAGAAGCAGATTTAAAGTTCCTAAACCCACTTCTGGCTTTTTGTCATCAACATCATCAATCTTTGGGCGATCATCCCAGTCCTCTGGCTTTTTGGCTTCAGGATCCTTAATTTTCTTAGGGGGCAGGAAGTCCCAGTCATCCTCCAGGGTGCCAGATTCTACCTTCTCATTGTCAATCTTCACTTCATATGTCTGATCTGGATTCAGGATCAGTGTATAGAGGTGAGTCAATTCATCATCCTGGAAGAAAGCATATAACATGTTTGGGTTTAACAGTTTGCATGAGGTCATTCTAGGAATAAAAATCTTAGAGCAATAGAATTACCTTGCACTTAATCTCTTTCTTGATCAGGTGATTCTTTCCTTTGTAATTAAAGATGACATGAACTTTCTTGGTGCTGTAGCCACAGATGTCAGGGCCTAGTTGGGATCAGATGTTAGAAATGCAATTTCTTACTGCAACTAGTAATTAGGGCACATTTAAAACAATTGCTCACCAAACATGATGTAATATGAGGAATCCCCATGCATGTCAGTTTGATCCAAGTCAGCAGGAAAGACCTTCACATAGCCACCACCACAGTCGATCTTCTGCTCATGCTTGACTGTGAACTGAATGACCAAAGGCTTCCCCTCATTGCTGAAAGCCTCGAAGTGGGCAGAAGTAGCATAGAAGCGTGCATCTTGGCTCGTCTGCAGACCTGAAGACAAACGTACACAAGTTAAATTTGGGCAAAGCCAACTAAACAGATCAACAGATTAAAAAAATTATAATTAATAAATAAATAAAACAGGATTACACTTATTTGACAGGAAAACAATGAAAGGTCAATCTTGAATTGTTTAAATTTCTGAGGGTAAACCTTAAGGGTGGCAACATGTTTGAAAATCAGCTCAGCAAACACCAACTGCAGATTTGAGTTCCAACTAGGGTGTTTCTGTTTCACTTCATTTAAGGGGATGCACACAAGTCTCAATTACCAGTTATGACCATTTAAATACTTATGCTGTGTTTACACCCAAAACACTGCAATCTGCCTTTGAATCTTTAAGACATTAAATTAGGAATGAGTTCTGATTAACAGCCAGTTTCGATTTTAAAAGAAAATAACTAAACCCACATATTACATTTTTAATTAAATAATTAAAAAATTGGTTTGCTTACCTTTGTCTTTTTCAGCATCCCCATAGAAGTTGCCAGCCGTCAGTTTCCACTCTCCATAGTCTGATTTATGTTTGGAGTTCACCCAGCGACTTCTCCACTCATCTGAAATTAAAAGTAAAACCAGAATATTTCATGAAAATTCAAGACTTTTAGCACTTTTTCAAAGCATTACCGGGTGTCATTCAGATGATTGGATAACATTACATATAAAACATTTGACAAAGGATTATCTTATAAATCTAAAATACAACTTTTATGATTGGAAATGAGATTGCTAGCTTAACAGCTATGGGTCACAAGATCACTGAAGTGACAGTTTGCGACCTTCGACGCCCAAACTGAAAATAACCATCTAAAACCAGTAAGGATAATATATTAATGGTGACATTTTAAATTAAAATACATTCAACTTAAGACAATACAAAGCAAATTCCCAAAAGCTAATTCCCAATGATAGATCATACTTAACGATGGCTAACACAGAGGACGAACGTTATTAAACTTACCACCGTCTAGAAACTCTTCCCGAAAGTAAATTTTTGCATTTACGCAGTACACTGCTAATATAACAACAGCTACACCCAAAAGCTGCATTTTCCCCATTTTAGCTGTGATTTCCGCTGCTCACAATCAACGCTGTTGGGCCAAGGAGCAAATGCGCTAACGAAAAGGGAAGAGACGGGAATATTTTAGAGTTGCTCTGGCTAACAGATGTCTACCTCCGATTGGACAAGAAGAAAGAGTGCCTGGACCAATCACAGTCGACCACGAAACATATGTCGTTGCCAGAGCCTGGTCTCAGATCAGTTTATGGTTTTAGTATTTTGCTGTCAATACTACAGCAAACCAGTAGGGGGTGCTAAATAAAACAAATGGACGGGCGTAATCAATTTTTTTAATGAAAGAAACTTATACAAAACAAATCAGGAATTTTACAATTTTATGATCATTTCAGGTGCAAACAGATGCAGTGAGTGATATAACTTTGTAAAGAAAGGAAAATTAAGGTATAAAAAAGAACAAAAAGAAATAAAAAAGGATGATGTGACAAATAACAGATACATTTAAAACAACGAGAATTTTGTAATTTTTTTGATAAATTTTGGCAGTTTTTCTATTCATTTCAGCAATAAATTTCAATGATTTATAGTGCTGTATGAAGGTGTTCAGAAAGAAGGAAAAAATAAGTATTGTATTCTTCCATTTGCATGTGTGAATGAAGTATAGTATTTACACAAAATAACTATGAGGTTGACAGTATCAGAAGGATCAGAGTCCAGATCGTCCATGTAGTAGACAACATCTTTGGCTGTAAAAGAAGGTACATTGTACATTTTTAATGAGATCCAACCATGAATGTCAGACCATAAGACCTTCATAGCTTGACAATTATAAAACAAATGTTCTATCGTTTCTACTTCTGATGAACAAAAGATACAAGGGTATGTTTGAATATTTTATATAATAAATCATCAGTAGGGTGTATACCAGATATGATCTTAAGGAAGAGCGTAATCCGCTCATCAAACACTACAACTAGACATAGCAATTGAAATAAAAGGTCAAAGTTGGAATTTTGGTAAAGTTATACTCTTACTTCCTTCTGTCATTAATTATGTCATCTGGCTACCTGGGCCACATTTAAAGTTATAATAGACAGGAGGTGCTTCAGGTGCACTAATAATCTTGAAAAAGCATACTTAAACCAAAAACTATAACATAATTTCAGTTTTGTAATTCAGTTATCAGTTACATGCGTTACATTTATTTACAACCGAGATAGAATATCACTTAGTGACACTGGCCTTCTCCTGTTTCTAATTTTGTAGAAGTCTTTGTATTCTATGAAAGAAGATAGCATAATAAAACAACAATGACATTTACAAGTACGGCGTCCAGCCAATAGTGGCTGATATTTTCCTGTCTCCACTTGAGGGCGCTACTGCAATCTGCACAAGTCAAAACTTTCAGTTTTTATCATGAACATTTTTTTAACAAGCTTTATTTGTTTTTGTCACAAATACAGAATCAAACTAACAAACATACATCAAATATACACACAAACAGACATCAGCTCATTAACCGACAAGAGGCACATAACAGATAACAATAACCTTCCAAAAGGCACGTTATGTTATTTTTTATTTATTTATTTCTTATACAGGGTCAATCAGAAATAAAAGTTGAAGATTCATTAAAGTGAGTTCTGCCTTCTAATTTACAATTAACTTTACGGTGTTTACTTATGAGTGGAAGTCATTTAAGAAAACACAAAAGTTAGGGAGAGATTTGGAGACCCTCGCTTTATGTATATGAAATTTCCCTAAAAGAAGCATTAGATTAATTATAAAACTTAACATTTTATCATTACATTCAAACTTGACAATAAAATCCTTAGATCTTATTTGGATAGTGTGTTTGGATTTAATCTTAATAAAATTTTCCACAACTTTCCAAAATCCAGATGAGAGAGGACAGTTATAAAATAATAGTCTCTGAACCAGTATGACAAAAGGTACATTTTTCATCCAGATCTTTGAACAATGATAATTTTTTATTACATGGATAAATATTGTGTAAAATTTTGAAATTAAGTTCCCCTATCTTGTTTGAAATACAGTATTGAAAGTGAACCATCCACACTTTTTTCCAATTTATAACAAACTGTGTTCCAGAAAAAAAACTTTCCTTTGGGTGCCACCGTATTAGAACAACGTAAAACCTTTCTTAAATTTTGATTTGAACATTTCTTGTCTAACAAATCAATACCCCCAACTTTTAGAAAAGGTATCTGTAAACTAAATCTCTGATAAACAGTGTGCTCTCATTAACTCAACTATGCCTGAAGAAACGGCTCTCATGACTGAGGCAAATTCTCTGTATTTCACTGGAAAATCCTTAGTTTTCAAAAAGTTTTCATAGCTATAAAGGCTTCTGTTATCATCAAATAAATCTGCAGCAAAAATAATGCCTTTCTCAACCCAATTAATTTTGAATAAGCTTTTGTTGTTTATAGTAATATTACCATTATTCCATAATATTTCTTTGTGTGGGGAGAAATTGTGTGTATGGCATAATTTCCAGGCAAGTAAAGCCTGCTGGTAAAACATTGAAAGTTTCACTGGTAATTTAGAAACAATAAAGTTGCAACATAACAGAAAATTTAACCCCCCTACCATTTTAAATATGTTATGTGGAATAGAATTCCATAAAGATTATGGCATTTCTAGACATTTTTTTAATCCATTTAAAGGTGTTGTTTAAGTGAAAAATGTAAGAGTTCTAAGCCCCCCCCCCCCCCCCCTTGCTCTTTCCAGATAGAGTATCTTTTTTTAGATGATGATAACTGTTCTTCCAGACAAAGTTTACAAATGAACTGTTAATTTCTTTACAAGTTGCATCATTAACATGAAGGGAGAGAACGGGATATACTAACCTTGATATGCCTTCCGCTTTTGTTAACAACACCCTGCCAAAAATAGAGGTCCCTTTGCAGCCACATATCAAGAATCAAATGAGTTTTTTAAATCCTTGATTGTAGAATTAATGTTTGTTTCACCATTTTGCCTTTTATTATGTGAATTCCTAAATATCTGACAGTTTGTTTGACGGGAATATTGAACATATATTGGCCATTGGTTTCATATAAACATAAAATTTCACTTTTATCAACATTTAGCTTCAGTCCTGAAGCTTCTGAAAATTCCTGCATTGCATATAGAGCATTTGGTATCTGTGATCTATCTCTAAGAAACAAGACTGTGTCATCTGCCAATTGGGACATCTTAACTTCTTCATTAAAAATTTCTAAACCATGAATATTTGGATTGTGTGAAATATTTAAAAACTAAAGTTCATCGGCGATCAGAAATAAAAAGCAAGAAATTGGGCAGCCCTGTCGTACACCTCTTAATATCGGAAGCCTCCCAGACATCTGCGGATATAAGATAATTGAGCTGCTTATATCTTTACAAAACATTTCAATAACACTAATGAACGACTCTCCGAAACCTAAAATTTGAAGTGCTTGCAAAATAAAGGTGTGTTCAATCGAATCAAATGCCTTATAAAAGTCAAGGAAAATCATCAAAGCATTGGAGTTTATAAAATTTGAATAATCGATTAGATTCAACACTAGTCTAAAATTAGAGCTAATGTGACGTTTGGGAAGAAATCCGTTCTGGTTTTCACTCATTACCTCAACTAAATCCTTTTTTTAGTCTTTTCGCATTCACCAAAGATAAAATTTTGTAATCAATATTTAAAAGTGAGATAGGTCTCCAATTTTCTATTTTTAAAGGATCATTGTCTGTCTTAGGGAGCAGAGTTATAAGACCTTGTTTCATAGTTGTCATTTCTTGCCTACTTATATATTCTTTAAACATCAGAAAAAGCTGATTAACAATTAATTCCCTAAAAAAAAGATAGAATTCTACTGAGAGTCCATCACTACCAGGTGACTTTCCTAACTTCATTGAACGCGCAGCATCTGTAATTTCTGAAAATAAAAGCTCAGCATCACTAGAGTCTTTAAACGTGCCGGTGAGTGAGACGGAGGTGAGGATCCAAGTGCAGGGGAAGAAACAGGCCGGGAGGCAGACAGGAACATTTAAAACACTGATTTAATGGAGGACACGCAGGACAATGAAACAATGAACCAACCAGACAAAATGGACTAACAGGGTTTAAATACAGTAGGAGCTGGGACCTTGGGTGATTGGGAGACGAGAGGCAGGTGGGAGTAATTAACATGGACACAGGACTAAACAGAATGGGGAGATAGGACAGGGTGTGACAGTACCCCCCCCCCCCCCCAAAAAAAAGGGCGGATTCCAGACGCCCACAGGAACACAGAGCAGGGCGGGAGGAGGGGGAACCAGAGGGAGGGCCGAGAGGGAGGGCCGAGAGGGAGGGCCGAGAGGGACCGATGGACCGATGGAGAGGAGGCAGGGACCAGTGGAGTCCGGGGGCCTGCGCATGGGGCAGAGGAGGCGACAACGGGCTCCTGGGGGCCTGCGCCTGGGGCAGAGGAGGCGGCGACGATGGGTTCTTGGGGGCCTGCGTCTGTAGCAGAGGAGGCGGCGATGGCGGGCTCTTGAGGGCCTGCAACTGTGGCAGAGGAGGAGGCAACGACGGGCTCTTGGGGGCCTGCGTCTGTGGCAGAGGAGGAGGCGACGGCGGGCTCTTGGGGGCCCGCGCCTGGTGAGGGCAGGACTGGCTGTGACTGGAGGCAGAGACGCCGGAGGACACATCTTTGACATATAGACTGGAGGCGGCGGCGACGACCTCAGGGCCGGAGGCGGCGTCGTCGGCCCCTGGGCCGGAGGCGGCGGCGGCGACCACTGGGCCGGAGGCAAGCGTCGACCTCGGACACGAGGCAAGCGTCGACCTCGGACACGAGGAGAGCGTTGACCTCTGGGCTGGAGAGAGCGTCGACCTCTGGGCTGGAGAGAGCGTCGACCTCTGGGCTGGAGAGAGCGTCGACCTCTGGGCTGGAGAGAGCGTCGACCTCTGGGCTGGAGAGAGCGTCGACCTCTGGGCTGGAGAGAGCGTCGACCTCTGGGCTGGAGAGAGCGTCGACCTCTGGGCTGGAGAGAGCGTCGACCTCTGGACTGGAGAGAGCGTCGACCTCAGGACTGGAAGGGGCGTCGACCTCAGGACTGGAAGGGGCGTCGACCTCAGGACTGGGGGCGTCGACCTCCATTGACTTCTGGTCCGGAGGCGTCGATTTCTGGTCCGGGGGCG